CCCGCTCTTTGCTCCAGGGCTGGGTCCTGCTGCTGTGGACGGGGGTGCAGGGAGGGGGGTGGTGCAGCCTCTGGCTGGTGCCCCCCTCCCCGCTGTCTCCCAGGGGGCACAAAATCTACTCGTCTGCCCCCCAGGCTCCGGTGCGCAGGGGGATGTGCCGAGGGCCTTTCTGCTTCTCAGTCGGGGCCCACATCAGGGACGGTTTGGGGTTTTTGTTTGTTTGCTTCTCACTTGGGTGCAGCCCCTGCCTGATTTTTCTCTGGGCCAGCGGCCCCCGACCCGAAAAAGGTTCCCCACCCGCCGGTGTCTCTTTCCCCCAGGGGCCCAGCGGGGACTGGAAATGTCTCTCCTTCCGGGTTCCCCTTTGCTTGCTGCTAGTCGCTGGCGGATGCAGCCCTTTTGGGGAAGTGGGGAAGAGGTGGGGCACTCCACCGGAAGCGCCGGACAGTGAGACAGCTCCTGACGGGCTCCGGCCTGTGCCCCGCCGTACCCGAGACTCTGGAAAAGGGTCACAAGCGCCATTTGGGGGCCGGAGCGAACCTCACGCAGTGGGAGACAGCTGGTTAGTCGGTTCCGTTTGGCTCAGAGCAGGGTGAGAGGTGACTTCCTGCCAGGGGTGCGCACGGTCTGGTCTGTGCCTGGTTCTCAGCAGGGCCCCCGGGCGTGGCCCTTTCCTCGTGCTGCACCCCACGACCACCACAGCCCAGCAGGGAGTAAGGGGTGAGAGTCATTCAAATGTCAGACTGGCACCGACACACCACAGCCCCCTGGGGTGGGGGCCTCAGGGCCGAGGGTGGGAGAGTAGGGGTCAGAGCTGGGAAGATGGTGAACTCAGGGCAGGAGACTGGATGCGTCCTTTTCCTGCACTGCCCTGCGTCCAAGCGGCACTGGGAGCGAGGGCCAACGGGGAGGCTGGGATGTAGAGACCCCACCTGCAATTCCCCTGGGAGCGTGCACGGCTGGTACCGCGTGTCTCCAGCCACCCCTTTGATGTGCCTGGCTGCCTCTTCCCTCTTTACGGTTCAAAATCCTGCTGGACGGGCAGAACAAGAGGGGTTCTGCAGGGATCCATTTTGGGACCGGCTCTGTTCCGTATCTTCACCAACAATTTAGATATTGGCATAGAGAGGACGCTTATTAAGTTTGCAGATGATCCCAAGCTGGGAGGGGTTGCAGCTGCTCTGGAGGAGAGGGTCAGAATTCAAAATGATTTGGACACACTGGTGAAACTGTGAGAGGTCAATAGGATGACGCTGAATAAGGACAAATGCAAAGTGCTTCACGTAGGAAGGGACAATCCGTGTCACACACACAGAACGGGAAGCGACTGTCTAGGAAGGAGTCCGGCAGAAAGGGATTTAGGGGTGTTAATGGACCACAAGCTGAATAGGAGTCAGCAGTGTGATGCTGTTGCAAAAAAAGCCAACATGATTCTGGGATGTATTAACAGGTGTGTTGTGAGCACGACACGAGAAGTCATTCTTCCGCTCTACTCTGCGCTGGTCAGGCCTCAATTGGAGTATTGTGTCCAGTTCTGGGCACCGCATTTCAAGAAAGATGTGGAAACATTGGAGAGGGTCCAGAGAAGAGCAACGAGAATGATGCAAGGTCTAGAGAACAGGAGCTATGAAGGAAGGCTGAAGGAATTGGGTTTGTTAATTTGGAAAGGAGCAGACTGAGAGGGGACACAAGAGAAGTTTTCAAGTATCTAAAAGGGTGATACAAGGAGGAGGGAGAAAACTTGTTCATCTTGGCCTCTGAGGACAGGACAAGAATCAATGGGCTTAAACTGCAGCAAGGGAGGTTGAGGTTGGACATTAGGAAAAACTTTCTGCCTGTCAGGGGGGTGAAACACTGGAATAAATTGCCAGGGAGGTTGTGGAATCTCCATCCCTGGAGATACTTAAGAGCAGGCTGGACAGACACCTGTCAGGGATGCTCTAGATGGTGCTTGGTCCTGCCACGAGGGCCGGGGACGGGATTCAATGACCCCTCGAGGTCCCTTCCCGTTCCAGTGCTCAGTGACTCTACGGTTCTGGTGCGGCGCACGGGGCTGCCGACGAG